AACGCGACAACTTTTTCGCATGACTGTATAATAAAAATAAAGTATACATAATTAGTAATATTATAATAATTTTATTTTAGTGTAGTTTTTTTATTATTTAAAAGTTTTACCCAGTTTAAATATTGTTTATAAAACAATTATAATTTTTACAAACATGTGATAATTATTAATTCAAAAATACACATCGATCTAAGTTTTAAAACAATTTATATATAATTATAAATTATATCATTACTATATTTAAAATAATAATATTTTTTAATAATTGGTGTAATACAAACTATGGATGTTTTTAAACAAAAATATTATTTAATTATGACATAATTATAATATGATAAGCTATAATCGTGAGTTTTTAAAAGCATTTGATTTTTATAACATATAATCATTTAAATAAATAATATGTTTATTCATAATCTTATTATTTTAACTTTATAATCAATAAATAATATTTACATTAAATCGAATTTAAAAAATGAAGTAAATAAATTACTCTAATTCCATTTGTTTTTTCGACCAAATGACAAATTCTGATTCTTCTGATACGGTAACACCATTTGCGTTATAATGTTTAATTACTGGAAAGTACCAGTCAAGTGATTTTCCCTCTCTATAATCATTATCATTTATGTTCTTCAGTGCTTTGAGTTCATCGAAGTTTTCGACTTTAATTTCTCTTGAGATGTTTAATGCAATGAGTGATGTCGGCAATTTTATAGTAGCCTCTTGACTGCATTTAATAGAAAAAGCTGTCAAACAAGTCAGAGAAGTTAAATCGGCGTCACAATAACTTTCCACGTCAAGATATCCTTTTTTTATTGCATATAATTAATTAGCAAGCTTTCCATTAGTATAAAAGATATTTTTCAAATCTCTTGCACTTATTTTAGGTGGGATGAGGAGGTACACGCCAGTTGTTTTGACTTCATTAGAACTAAAATAGAGATTTCTAATACCAACCATATTTCTCAAATTATCAAATTGGTTGTACACGTCATCGTCTCGAACTTCAAATTTCAAGTGTATTTTGATATCACCATGTTTTCTAATTTCGTTAATGGCCCGTTCAATGTATTTAACATTGGGGAAGTCAGTGATGTACTTTGCAATATAGATAAATGGAATTTTATTATTAAAATAAGCTCTTGTTATATTAGGCATTGGTTCTTTGGGTTTTTCAGACTTCAGGGTATAAAGGGTATCACACAATTTAAGTACTTTTTCATTGGTTATTTTAGGATCATCGTGGCTGTGTTGGATTATTCGGATATGATGCACTTTTGAAAGAGTTTCATCTGATAGTGTGTTTGCAGTTACTGGGTCTACTTGAAGAAGTTCTAACTTCGGGAAGTACTTTAAAATTCTTTTCACCGTTAAGTCTGACTTATCATCACTATATTCAGACCACGGGTTTGTGGATAAAGATTCAACCGCTTTACAACATTTGTAATTGATTTGGATAAAAGGTTCGACATCAGTTTGATGAATGTAATAAACTAAATTCTTTAAAGAAACTGTGGGAAAACGAACAACTGGTTTTGACATGACTAAATCAGAATAATTTACAAGTTTAAATTCATCAGAAGAAATTGTGTATTGGATTAAAAATACACTATAATTATTTTTAATGAAATTTGTGTTGTTTTATATAAATATTCGATTATATAATAACCAAATTTAATTACAAGTATTAATTATATAGTATGTGTAATGATGTGTAATTAACCATTGATTTTAAATAATTAAATATAAAAATAAGTTGTTATTTTATTTTATAATATCGTTAATATTAATAATTACACAATCTAACTTTTTGATAAAAATATTGATAATAAATTAAGAAAAATATAATAAACATATTTATATCAAATTTAGTATCTTTTGACATATTATTTTGTAAGTGTATTAAAACACTTATAATTATAAATTGTATTAATTATTTAGTATAATTATATTTTACATTAAAACACAAAGTAAAATAAATGCTATACTCATTTTATAATTATGTATTAATTTATTAAATTGTATGCAAATAATGAATTTATAATGAATTTATTGTTAGAATTTATTGAAATTAATATGATATTATTCAACAAAAATTAAAACTTTTTTATAAATAGATTATTCATTATTATTTTTATATGTTTCATATTATTTGTGATGATTGTATGTTTTTACTTTAAAACAAACCAATTATTTATAGCATAATTTATTATAATCAAATTATTAATTAATTTAAAATCAAAAGTAAAACAATCATTTTATTATTATAAAAAAATTGTAAACAATTTTTTCCTTTTTTTATAAATAATAACGTTTTTAATTCCTAAAATAGGTATTCAAATAATTTGTTTAATTGCTTTTTCAATCATCACTTGCATTCGAAACTTTAAGGGCGATCTTTTAGAAGTTTGCAATAATAAAGTAGTACAATTGTGATGTTTATTATTTTAAAAACGATGGATATTTCAAAGTATATTTAATAAAAAATCAAGAAAATAATATCTAATATGATTAATCACAATTAAACAAATGCAACTAAAGTTACATCATCAGTTCAAACTTTAATAAGTTCCAAATAACTTTTTTTTAAAACTCAGAACCAAAAATGAATAATTCACTTTTATTAATTAATAATATTTTAAAGGAAAAAATAAATAATTGGTTTTAATTTTACACTGATTTTGTTTATAAATAACGGTTTTTGAAAAACATAGCAAAGTTCAAATGATACCCGTCATTATATAAACTTGTTTTTATACCCTAAACACACAACAATGCAAGACAACAAACAGACGACACAAGAACCTGTTCAAAACGGTGAACTGCCACTTGATGATATGTCTAAATTAGAAGACACAAAGCCAAAAAAGATGATAAGCCACAAGAGACCGGTTCGGTATCCATTATTAAGCTCTTTAAGTACTCAAATTGGGTCGACTATATTTTGCTTTTTGTTGGGATTTTTGGTGGTTTAGCTGTTGGTATTCTTAACCCTCTAATTATCATGATTATGGGTGATGTATTTGACACATTCAATGTGTCTAGCGACAGTAGTCTGGACTTGAGTAATATGCCTTTGGAACAGCAAAACATTTTGAATCACGTAATTGTTTGTTGTTTTAAGAAATATACCTTTTTAAAAAAAAACTATATTATTTGAAAAATTATTTATTTGTATTATTAAAAATAAACTAATCAATAGTTTGACTCTGTTACATCATCAGTTAACACTTTAATTCTTCGGATGCTATACATCACGCTTGGAAGTACTTTTGGTAAGTTTTTGTACCGCTTCTGCTTTTTTATCCTTTCAGAAAGAATTGGCTTGAAGATCAGGAAGTTGTATTTCTCATCATTACTGCGTCAAGACTCCACATTTTATGATTCACAAGAAACTGGCACATTAACATCCCACATTTCAATTGATGTTCAAAATATTCAAAAAGGCATTTCTCAGAATTTTGGATTATTATTTGAAGCCATAGCCTCGCCGATAACAGGCTACGTAATTGGATTTGTCAAGTGTTGGGATCTTTCTCTTGTTATTCTGTCAATAGCTCCTTTTATGATATTGGGTACCATATTTATGGGGTCATCCACAAAAGTTACAAGGTCGAAAGGAGATGTCTATGATTCCAAAGCGGGTGCAATAGCCGAAGAGACATTAGGAAGTATTCGAACAGTCCAATCGTTTAATCAAGAAAAGGCATTTTCTGAAATTTATTCTCAAAATGTAAAGAGTGCACAAAAGTGGTTTGTCATTGGTGGGCATTTTCTTGGGATTGGAATGGGGTTTGTGATGTTCACCATTTTCTGCTCGATAACACTTGGGCTGTTCTATGGGACAGTTGTTCTTCGAGGGGATGGTGGAATGAAAAACGTGACAGCTGGAGCAATATTGGTTGTCTTTATGTCGAATGTCATATCCACAATGTCTCTCTCGAAAATCTCAATGCCAGCATCTGCACTTGCCATTTCACAAGCCTCTGCATATAAAATATATCAAATCATTGACAGAATACCTGATATAGACGCAACCAACACTGAAGGGTTGAAACCAAGTATGTGTGAAGGAAAGGTGAGATTTGAAGGGGTCAAATTTAACTACCCAACACGAGAAACAAAAAGTGTTTTGGATGGTCTTGATTTTGAAGTGAAACAAGGAGAAACGTGTGCATTTGTTGGTGCATCTGGTTGTGGAAAGAGTACAACAGTCCAGTTACTTCAAAGAAATTACGAAGTGACTGAAGGTTCAATTTATTTGGACGACAGAAATTTAAAGGAGTATAACATAAAGTGGCTCAGAGAGCAAATTGGAATAGTGATGCAAGAGCCAAGTCTCTTTGGGTTTTCAATCAGAGATAATATAACTCTTGGCGCAAAAGAAGACCAAAGTATCAGTGACGAAGAAGTTGTAGAAGCGGCTAAAACAGCGAATTGCCACGAATTTATCAGTGCGATGCCAGAGGGGTACAACACTGTTGTTGGTGATCGTGGGAGTCAGCTGTCTGGCGGACAAAAGCAGCGCATAGCAATCGCAAGAGCACTGATCAGAAACCCAAAAGTGTTGATACTTGACGAGGCAACAAGTGCACTCGACACACAAAGCGAAAAAGAGGTACAAAATGCACTTGAAAATGCAGCAAAAGGAAGAACAACAATCATCATCGCACATAGACTGTCCACAATCAAAAACGCAACAAAGATCTGCGTCTTTGAAAATGGTAAAATCATCGAAAGTGGAAGTCATGCAGAACTGATGGATTTGAAGGGAACTTACTATGAAATGGTGTGCAGACAACAAACAACTGTTGATGATACGAGTGAAATTGTTTCTGAAAATAAAACAAAAGAAGAACACAATGATACTACAATTAAAACGGACGAAGCAAGTGGCGAGCCATCTGATATTGAAAATCGACTACAAAAAGATATTGAAGACGAAAAGAAAAAGATGAAGAAATCGAACAAACGTGTCTTTTTGAGGACTTTCATTGACAGTTTGAAACATGAGTATGTCTTGACAATATTGTCAATGATTGGTGGCATTGGACAGGGTGCAATATTTCCATTTTATTCGATAAAGTTTATGGACATAATGATGGTCATGTTGAACATGGAACCTGGCGTTCAACCAAGTGATGACCAAAAGAAAGATATCAGAGTTGGATGTTTAACTATATTTGGTCTTGGGTGTGGCATCTTTTTGGCAATGTACTTTTTGTTTGGATTGTCATTCATATCTGGTGAAAAGTTGATATCTCGAATGCGCTCAAAACTGTATTCCAAACTTTTGATACAAAACATTGGCTATTTCGATTACAAAGAAAATGGAGTTGGGAAGGTAGTCACACGTCTTTCTTCAGACCCAACAAACATGAAAGGGATGGCCGGTCTCATTTCAAATGTCATGAGCATTGTCTCGTCTTTTGGGTTTGGTATTGGAATTGGGATTTATTATCAGTACAAAACTGGGCTGTGTTTATTTGCCATTGTCCCTTTGGCACTTTTAGTGATTTATTTAAATGGGAAATTGAATTCAGCACAATCATCACCGGCACTTACAGCGTATTTGGAGTCTTCTTCGACACTTGTTGAAGCAATTGAAAATGTCAGAACTGTACATTCGTTGTCAAAAGAAAAATATTTTTATACGAAATTTGAAGAACAATTAAAAGTGCCGAAAAGAAACATATTGAAATGGGCACCAATTCTCTCCTTTGTTGGTGCTGCAAACAATTTTATGCCAAATTCATTCAATTGCTATGGTATTTATATTGGGACTTTGATGATCAAAAAGTCGATTGAATTTAACACAAATACAACAGATTTTATGAACGACTTTGTTGTTCAATTTATAAACATGCAAAAGTCTATATTGTGTATATCAATGGTAGCTGGCGTCTTTGAGCAATTAGATGTGATTGTCCAAGACTTTGGAAAGGCCAAAAAATCTGCACGGGCTGTATTTAACACAATTGATAGAAAGCGGCCAATTGATATATCAAGTGAAGATGGCGAACAACCAAATGAAGTTAAAGGCGAAATAGAATTCAAACACACATTCTTTAGATATCCAACAAGACCAGAAAGGTGTGTATTGGATGATGTTTCTTTTAAGATCAAACATGGAGAAACGTATGCATTTGTTGGTGCATCTGGTTGTGGAAAGAGTACAACAGTCTCTTTGATTGAGAGATTTTATGATCCAACAGCTGGTGAAATATTATTAGACAACATCAACATCAAAAATTTGAATCTCGAGTTTTTGAGGAAGCAAATTGGGATGGTGAATCAAGAACACGTTTTATTCAACGAGAGCATTTTGGACAACATCAAACGAGGTAAAGGTGATGGTGATAATAATATCAGTGACGAAGAAGTTGTTGAAGCGGCTAAAACAGCGAATTGCCACGACTTTATCAGTGCAATGCCAGAGGGGTACAACACTGTAGTCGGTGATCGTGGGAGTCAGCTGTCTGGCGGACAAAAGCAGCGCATAGCAATCGCAAGAGCACTGATCAGAAACCCAAAGGTGTTGATACTTGACGAGGCAACAAGCGCACTCGACACACAAAGCGAAAAAGAGGTGCAAAACGCACTTGAAAATGCAGCAAAAGGAAGAACAACAATCATCATCGCACATAGACTGTCCACAATCAAAAACGCAACAAAGATCTGCGTCTTTGAAAATGGTAAAATCATCGAAAGTGGAAGTCATGCAGAACTGATGGATTTGAAGGGAACTTACTCGACTTTAGTGACTTCTCAGAAAGAGGAAATATAATTCTCTTTGGTGTTTGTCTGGTTGAAACAAAATATTATAAATATTTATAATTTATTTTAAACAAATAAAGTTCTTCAATTGATATTAAAATTATAAACAATTACACTTATTTTTGTTAGAGTCAGTCTTTCAAATATATATGGTCTCAAACTTTATCTGATGGAAAAAATAGCTTTAACTTTGTCTAAACATTGGGCATTAGGCAAAAAGTGAAAAAACCCGAAACAATTGAAATGATTGTTTTGTACTCCTTTTCGAAATATTCCAATATTTATTGTTTAAATGGTATTAAATAACGGTTAAAACCAGATAACTTTGAAAGACAGACTGTATAGTTTTTCAATAAAAATGATATAAATAATATTTAAAAAATATTCCTAAACAATTTAAAAGTCTAACAATAAATATTTGTATCTGAATCCACAATTAATCATTTTTAATTTATTTGTCAACAATTTAATATGTTTTTTTTTCTAAAATGTCGACTTACTAATCAATATCGTTTTAATGTAATGTAATGTAATGTAAAAAACAATTGAAAAAACTCAATTCTTTTAAATCACAACATTTTCATCAAATGCAGAACTTTCTAAATGTGTAACACTTTTTGGAATAACAACGGTTTTTAAGTCGCAATTTATAAATGCCATCTTATCAATTTCTTAAGTTTTTACGTTCAAAATGACCTCAATATGAGACACACCCACCAAATGTCCATTTTTGAGTTTTTTTACATTGCCTAATATTTTTTATTTAAAACCTTCTCGCATCAGAAAATGCATTCCATCCAATTGCCTCGACGGTTTCTGGTAGTTTTATTTCTTTCAACGACTTGCACTAACCAAAGCAAAGCATTTAAATCTCTTTCGATGTTTTTTTGAAAGCACAACTTTTGCAAGATTGATTCACAAAAAAAGCACCGATGACCGAGTCTTGTCACACTGTTTGGTATTTCTATTTCACTCAACGTTTTGTCACAACTAAAAAAACTCATACCCAAAACTTTTCACAAATCGAGGTATATTGTTGCTATTCACTTTTTGTTCGTCCTTATGGAAACAAACATTTAATATGATATTCTCCTATCCACTGTCATCAAAGAACGATTATAAGACACTTCATACCAAACCCTTAAATGATAAAAATGTGTTTTAAAGAGTCGTTATTTTGTTGTGTGTTTTTAAGACTATTTTCCTTTAATTTTTTTTGGAAGTGAATCTTTGACTATATCATAAAAATTGAAAAAGTCACCAGGTAGACTCCAGACGTCCAAAGTCTCAATGTTTGGAAAGGAAGTGATAATATCAGGAATAAGAGGTATCGGGTTGAAGTAAAACTTTAACATGTTTACTTTGTATTTTTGGTGCACTTTTTCGAGGTTTTCAAAATCGGAAATGTTACTAAAATATTGTGAGACAATCATTATATGAAATGGGTCGAATTTTGCCATACAATATGTTCAATACAATTTTGATTAATATAAATAATAATATTATTATTATTTAAACTATTAGATTGAGTTATTGATCAAATTGTTTGTTGTATTTTATTAAAATTGAAAATAATAATTTTTGGTGTTTTTAAAGTTAATAAAAGTTAACAAATTAAAAAATTTAATAAAAACAACACTTTTTTATCAATAAACCAGTAAAAAATAATAAAATTTGTTCGGTTTTATACAAAAAATATATTAAACAACAATTGTTTATTTTCAATTATAAAAAACACCAAAAATCACTTTTTAAGAATTGCAGTTGTTTTAGGAAACGAACCCTTTCTTAATTTAAGTGTTTTCGGTACTTCTATCCATTTCAAATTGTTACACTCGAAAAAACATTGTTTATCAATTGACTTGATACCTTCATTCAACTTCACATGACTCAAAGTGGAACACCCAAAGAAGCATCGTTTTTGTAATACATCAACTTTTTTTGGTATTTCTATTTCTTTTAAAGCTGTGCACCCTTCAAAAGCGGACTCTCCTATATACTCCACACTTTCAGGAATTATAATTTTATTCATATTAAAACACCTCATGAAACAACGGTCGCCAAGATAACGCGTCTGTTGACTCAATTTGATTGTTGTGAGAGAGTCACATCCATAAAAGCACTCATTATTGATTTCTTCGATTGACTTGGGAATATCAACTACACTCAAATTTTTACAAATACAGAACACTCCAGTGTTAAAATATTTCACGCCACATTCCACATGGACACTTTGAAATGAACACCCCTCAAAACACTTCACGCCCAAATGTGTGATATTCTTTGGTATTGTGAGTGCAGTCACATGCATGTTATACGCGAGACATGCATCCCCAAGACTTATAACACTGTCGGGTATTGTGAACGACGTCAATGCAAAACACACATCAAAACAATGACTTCCAAACTTTTTTAAATGTGTTGGAATATTTAATGTTACTAAATCCAAACACCCATTAAAACAACGATCGTCTATATATTCGACACTTTCAGGAATTTTTATAGAAGACACACCACAACACCTCTCAAAACACGATTGTGACAAGATTTTGACATTATCAGGAATTTCATTGCCAAAGCGATTTCGGTCTTTTTGTGTGTATGAGACACTTTTAAAAGTGAAGTTCTGATTTTTGAATAAAAAGTAATCTTCATAGTCAACTGGAAAATTGACGACAACGCGATAAAACGTCTTGAAAATATTTTGACTCAAAACGTCACGCGTGGAAAGACCAAGTCGCTGTGAAAGGTCAAACCAAAAGGGATCGGTTTGGTCATACAAATATAAAGTCTCGATGCGTGGAAAATATTTTTTAACTTTTGAGTTGTATGGAATTGGGTTGTAATGATACTTCAACATTGTGCCTTGATATTTTTTACACACAAATTCCAAATGAATGAAATCGTTCAATTCTGTAAAACACCGAGAAACCACCATTATGTGAAACCCATCCAATTGACTCATTTCTTATTGTTTTAAGTTCTTTTTTTGAACTAAAATGCTTTTGTTATTTGAAATATATTAAATTGTTTTAGAATTCATTTGAAAATGTATTATTGATTATAAAGTATAATTGAATAAGTAATAACATGAAAAAATTTTCAAATCGTTTTTATATTTATGTTTAAAATCAATTATATAAGGATGTCAAGTTTTTTATTATGAATTATTTCAAACAATAAAAAGACCCATTTAGTGAATCAATTAAATAAATTATAGTAATATAACCTATCAAACATATAGTTTTGACTGTTACTATTTTTGATTTTTAAACGAATAACTTAAATAATCGAATAGTGAAATTGGAACCAATTTCTCTTGCGAATATGGTGCTTAACATCGACTTAACAGTATCATTCTAAACATTTATAAATGTTTCTTAGAACACAATGATTTTTGTTTCCTTGTTACATATCAATCCGTTACATTTTCTTCGATATGTTCCTTTTTTTGCGAAGTACATCCCGAATTTAAACACGTACGAAGGCTCTATTATAGAAGCACAAAATGAAATTAAAAGAGACCCAATCAAACACATCACATATATTGATGGTTTATATATGATGATGATAATGATGTTTTGGTCACCCCATTTCATATTAAACCGGCTTTTGTTGACAATGTAGTTGCAAAGAAAATATCACAAAAAGACAATTTTTCTATTGTAGAATTTCTGAGTCTTCGCAAAATAGTTGTTGTTGGTCAATTTGATTTCAAGATACTTGAAACCTTTTTCAATTCACAACGACTGCAGAACCTCTACAACATTGTTATTTACACAAATACAATCACTCAAAAGTTATTGGCCGACATCTCTACATTCTTTTTGGACTATAATATATCTGTTGGTGTTGGAATTACAAGTGGTTTGGCAGTCACCGATAAAAACATATCTAATTTAAAAATAGTGCCACACGACCCGGACTTTGTCAAACAGTTTAAAATTGCTTCAAAAAAGTGTGAGACAGCCAAAAAAAATTATCAAAAAAGTCAACACTTTGAATGATATAAAATTCAAAGAAATAATCGATGAAATGAAAATCAAAAATGCAAGATTTTTGCAATTAGAAATGACTAACAACGATATTCAAGAGTTTGACTTTTTAGATGTCGTTTGTAAAGAATTGGAGTTAAAAGTCGAAAGTGGGAATACCATCAAAGTTTTCAATAAAACGAATATTTACAAAATAATAATAAAAAAAGGTGTTATAGATCTCAAAAACATTTGTATGAACAAATACATCAAAATACTTAAAATAGATGGAGAGGTACTTCTCGACAAAACTGAAAAGTCGTAATTGTTTTTTAAACCACCAAAACACTTTTTTGAGTTGTCACTGAACATCACAAACCCACAGAACGTCTTTTTTGATTTTTCCAACAAATATGGTCTTCTACAGAAAGTTTTGTTAACTTCAAAGAATAAATTCTACGACTTCGGTTATTTTGAACATATTGTGGAAATGGGTGTGACGTGTTAAGCACCGAATGAATGTTATATTAAACTTCCTCATCGCCACAAAAACAGACTGGACTATTACAGGTTCAAAAAATAAATTAAATCATACCACAGTCCCGAGTTGTTCCATTTCTTTCAACGACTTGCGCCCACTATTAAAACACTTAAATTTTCTTTAATGTTTTTGGAAGCACAACTTTAGTTAGATTGATACACAAAAAAACACCGATGACTGAGTATTGTCACACTGTTTGGTATTTTATTTCACTCAACGTTTTTCACAACTAAAAAACTCATACCCAAGACTTTTCACAAAGCGAGGAAATGTATTTTTGATCTTTGTAAATTGTTCATTTTCTGTTCGGCATTCAACAAATTTGGTAAAAAGATTTTTAGGCAAATTATTTCTAATACCCATAAAGTCATCACAATTGAAAATAATATAAAATATTATATTATTTTATTAAATATTTATTAAAATATTTATTTTTCAACAGTTAAGAGATATAATATATCTAATTCAAGCTAAAAAATTATAGTTTTTATACGACTATTTTAATTCGCCGAACATTAAGATTTGTGAAAATATGGCAAATTGTAATATTGTTGGAGGATAAAGGCGACCTTCGAGATTGTCACGACCCAAGTAATCCTAAAATCTTTTGGGTAGAATTAATTATTTTTTTGTAAATCGGCATTTTACTTTTCTCTCTACCAAATAACAAAAAAATATTTTTTAAAATTTCACATTTTTTTATTCTGAATTTACACATTGTTGGATTAGTTAAATAAAATCACCATTAAAATTCACAGATCTTTTTATCAATTTTCATAACAAAGTTATCTACTCAATCAAACGTTCAAATAAACAAAAAATCAAATATACAACAGTGTTGATACTATAATAATTCTCAAATTAATTATCCACTTAAATAATAGTTGTTTATAACATTAATTGTATTGATTGTAAATAATAACTTTTGTGCAATAACTATAATATACATTAAAACAAAAATAAACGATTATCATCAAGTTCATTGTGTAACTAAGTCGACGTACACAATTTTCGTTTTACAACTTTTGTTGATAATAACATGTAAGAGAGTTGTTATATACGATTATTTTTTTTAACTATCGTTTTCTTGTTAATTATGTAAAAACACATAATTAAACATATATACCTTTGTAACACCACAACAATTGTTATTGTATATAATAAAAACATGTATTGATTATTAGTTTCAATAATTTAATAACAACAGATGATATATCTTTTGTTATTTTAATAGTTTATTAAAATAACAACTATTTAATAGTTGTTATTTTAAGTTTAACTATTTAATAGTTAAATAGTTTTTTAAACTATTTAACCTTACAATGTCTGTAGAGTAATTAAAACACATGACTGGATGTAACCCATCCACTGGATACATGTATCTATTTTTTCTATCCACTGGACAAACCAGTTTCTATGCATGGCAAAAATTAAAATTATATAAATAGATTATTTGTTTTTTTGTAAACAAAATTTTATATTGTTATTGTTATTTTTATATGATTGTAATATCAAAAAAAATATTCAGATGTATAACAAACATTAAAACAATCGTAATTATAAATCAAAAATTCTCAAAGTACATCGTAGTATAAAAAACATTGTACATATTTAAAAAGGTAATTATATTAAATCAAGACATAATTACAAAAATTATAAAAAAATATCAAACTTATTAGATATCACAATCATAATTTCCACAACGTTGTATTTGTTTCAAAACCCAATTA